CTCGTTTGCACACCATCACGATATGTTTTTTTCTTTGTGACCCAACTGGTGACGTTTTTTCCTTGATCATCGAATCTTTGGGGTTGGAAGGGGCCTTTAAAAGTCATCAAGTCCAAGCCCACTGCAAGGAGCAGCGTTATCTTCAACTAGACCAGGTTGCTCAGAGCCTCGTCCAATCTGACCTTGAACGTTTCCAGGGATGGGGCATCTACCACCTTTCTGTGGTGAATGGTTTCACCACCCTCATTGTGAAGAATTTCTTCCTTAGATCCAGTCTAAGTCTACCCTCTTTTTAGTTTTAGTTTAAAACCATTACTCTTTGTCCTATCACAGCAGTCCATGCTAAAAAGCCTGTCCACATCTTTCCTGTAGGCCCCCTTTAAGTACTGGAAGGCTGCAATAAGGTCTCCCCAGAGCCTTCTCTCCTCCAGGCTGAACAACCCGAACTCTCTCAGCCTGTCGTCACAGGGGAGATGTTCCATCCCTCTGATGATTTTTGTGGCCTCCTCTGGACCCGCTCCAACAGGTCCATGTCTTTCCTGTGCTGAGGGCTCCAGAGCTAAATGCAGCACTGCAGGGGGAGGTCTCACCAGAGTGGAGTAGAGGGGCAGAATCACATCCCGAATCATGTCCCTTCACCTGCTTCTTATGATGCAGCCCAGGATGTGTTTGGCCTTCTGGGCAGTGAGCACATACTGCCAGCTCATGTCTGGCTTTTCATTCACCAGTACCCACGAGTACTTATTGCAGGACCCTGCACTTGGCCTTGTTGAACCTCATTAGGTTCGCACGGGCCCACTTCTCGAAGTTGTCCAGGTCCCTCTGGATGGCATCCCCACCTGCTTCTTATGATGCAGCCCAGGATGTGTTTGGCCTTCTGGGCAGTGAGCACATACTGCCAGCTCATGTCTGGCTTTTCATTCACCAGTACCCACGAGTACTTATTGCAGGACCCTGCACTTGGCCTTGTTGAACCTCATTAGGTTCGCACGGGCCCACTTCTCGAAGTTGTCCAGGTCCCTCTGGATGGCATCCCGTCCCTCAGGTCTGTCAACTGCACCACTCAGCTTCGTGTCCTCTGCAAACTTGCTGAGGGTGCCCTCAATCCCAGTGTGCCATTGATGAAGATACTAAAGAGTACTGGTCCCAATATTGACCTTTGAGGGACACCACTTGTCACCGATCTCCATCTAGACATTGAGCCGTTGACCACTACCCCCTGGATGTGACCATCCAACCAATTTGTCATCCACTGAACAGTCCACGCATCAAATCCATATCTCTTCAATCTAGAGAGAAGGATGTTGCGGCGGACTGTGTCAAAGGCCATACAGAATTCCAGATACATGATATCCATAGCTCTTCCCTTGTCCACTGATGTGGTCACTCCATCATAGAAGGCCATTAGGTTGGTCAGGCAGGACTTGCCCTTGGTGAAACCATGCTGGCTGTCTTGAATCACCTCCCTGTCCTCCCTGTGCCTTAGTGCAGCTTCTAGGAGGATCTGTTCCATGATCTTTGCAGGCACAGACCTGAGGCTGACAGGCCAGTAGTTCCCAGGGTCCTCATTTTGACCCTTTTTTAAAAGTCAGTGCAATGGTTCCCTTTTTTCTGTATCCAGGGTCTTCACCCGATTGCTATGACTTTGCAAATATGGAGAGTGGTTTCGCAACTACATTAGCCAATTCCCTCAGGACTCTGGGATGTATCTCATCAGGTCCCATGGACTTGTACATGTTCAGGTTCCTCAGGTGGTCTCAAACCTGATCTTTTACAGTGGGAGGGTTTGCTCCTCTAGTCCCTGTCTTGCAGGCCATCCCCTTGAGAGGAGTGGGAAGAGACACTGCTGGTGAAGACTGAGGCAAAGAAGCTGTTGAGTACCTCAGCCTTCTCCTCATCCCTTGTTACCTGTCTGCCAGCCTTGCTCGTTGCGGGGGTTATGCTTTCTTTGACCTTCCTTTTCTGGCTGACATACCTGTAGAAGCCCTTCTTATTATTCTTTGCGTCCCTTGCCATGTTCAGCTCCAGCCTGCCTTGGCCCCCCTGACCCCATCCCTACACAACTGGGCAGCGTCCCTGTACTGATCCCAGGATACCTGTCCCTGCTTCCACTGCCTGTGCATTTCCTTCTTGCCCTTTACTTTGCACAGCAGGTATTGATTCAGCCATGCTGGTCTTCTGCCTTCCTTTCCTGATTTCTTACACCTGGGGATCGAGAACTCTTCTGCTCTGTGGAAAGCATCCTTAAAGATCTGCCAGCTCTATTCTGCTCCCTTGTGCCCAAGGGCAGTGTCCCAGGGGATTCTATTGATTAACTCCCTGAAGAGCTGGAAGTTTGCTTTGCTAAAATTCAGGGTCCTGACTTCTACTCTTTTACTCTTTGCCTGCCCCATATCCCTCAGGACTGCGAACTCCACCAGTGCATGATCACTGCAGCCTAGGCTGCCTCCAATCTTGATGTCACCAATTAGCACACCTGTGTGGGTGACCGACAGGTCCAGTATGGCATCCTCTCTGGTAGAGCTGTCTATTACCTGGCGCAGGAAGTTATTATCCTCCATGCACCCCAGGAGTCTCCTGGATTGCCTACAGCTCACTGTGCTACTTCTCCAGCAGCTGTTGGGGTGGTTGAAGTCCCCCAGCAGGATGAGAGCCTGCAAGCACGATGCCTCCTGTAGCTGGAGTGAGAAGGCTTCGTTAATAGACTCCCCTTGGCTGGGTGGCCTGTAGTAGACACCAACCACAAGGTTCCCTTTGTTGCCTTGGTCTCTGATTCTTACCCGTAAGCTTTCAGCCTCCTTCTGGCTGTTCTTCAGAGACAGCTCTTTACATTCTAGCCATTTCTTGATGTAGAGGCCAATACCTCTGCCCTTCCTCCCTCACCTGTCCCTTCTGAACAGCCTGTAGCCATCGATAGCTGCACTCCAGTCGTGGGATTCATCCCACCAAGTTTCAGTAATGGCAACAAGGTCGTAGCTTTCCAGCAGTGCAGTGGCTTCCAACTCCTCCTGTTTGTTGCCCATGCTGGGTGCCTTGGTGTAGAGGCACTTCAACTGGCCTGTTGTCCAAGTCAACTTCTTAGAGGAACACCCCTTAATTCCTTTGAGGTCTTTTGCTCATGTTTCCTTGTTGGCTTCTATTACCTCAGGAGCCTGTGGCTCATCTCCGTAAGACTTCAAGTGTGGTGCAGTGTAGCCAGCACATCTCAGAGCAACAGGCTGAGGGGCCTCGCTGGCACCCTGTCCCTCTAACTTTGGTGTATCATCCCACAGCTTGTCACGGGCAAGCCTGATGTTGTCCCCTCCCCCTTCAAGTCTAGTTTAAAGCCCTGTCAGTAAGCCCCATTAGCTTGTGAGCAAAGACCCTCTTCCTCCTTTGAGAAAGGTTAATCCCATATGATGCCAGCAAGCCAGGTGCTGTGTAGGCCATCCCATTATCAAAAAAACCCAAAATTGTGGCAGTGACACCAGTCACGGAGCCATGCATTAACAGACGGGGCCTGTCTATTTCTTCCTGCGTTGCTACCCACAACTGTAAGGAGGGAGGAAAAAATAACCTGTACTCCAGATTGCCTTACTAACTGTCCCAAGGCCCTGAAGTCTCTTTTGATCACCCTTGCCCTATGAGTTGCAGCTTCATCTCGACATAAATAGAAGAACATTAATGGGTAATAGTCCAAGGACTGTACCAGGCTAGGAAGTTCCCTAGTGATGTCCTTGACCTGGGCCCTGGGCAGGCAACAGACTTCCCTAAGAGGAGGGTCTGTCCAGCATATTGGAACCTCTGTTGCCCTCAGAGGGGAGTTGCCCACAACTATAACCCATCTTTTCTTCTTTATGGGGGTGGTTGTGATACAGGAGGTATGCCTTTCTGACCTTGGCAGCACCTCTGGTGTAGCTAGATATGATGTGTTCAGGTAGGAATGACCCATGTCACCATTCTTTACATATTGCAGCCTTTCAGGGGAGTGTTTTGTGTACCCGTGTGTGCTTTCATTGGTGCTGCAAAGGTGAGGGCCATATTAATGTTGCTCCTAAAGAAAATGCTAAGCCTTTGTTCTCTCTTAGACTCAACGAAAGCGCCGTGGAGGAGCAGTTAATTCTAGGCAGGCACGGAAACGAAACAGGCTGATGGCTTCTACTGCAGAACTGGCTTCAGAAGCAGAGCCAATAGAACTTGAAGAAAGTGGTAAGCTTTCTTTTTAACTTGCTAAGAACATAAACTGCTTCTGGAGGGCTGAGGTCCCACTTAACATGTATTTTTGCCAGTTTCTAGGCCCTTTACTGCGGAGGAAGGGAAACCTCTTATTTTCAGAAAGTGTCTAGTATGACACCTGTAAACAACAAGCCTACTGACGTCTGGTCTAGTTTTTTACTGGGATACGATGCCACTCGTGATAGATGAGTTGTGCAAGAAAGGTACTGAAATGTTGCTCAAACATCTGAGTGCCTAGTCTGATGAGCTGGGAGTTACTGCAGCTGCCACTACAGATAATGGCAAACTAAGTCTGGGAACTCCCAAGTTTTAAGATAACTAAAAGTTTGTCACTAGTCATGCCCAGTCCCTCAGGGGAGAGGCAGTACTCAGTACGTTTTTACAAAAAGTATCAGAATTTCAAAAGCCTCCTTGAGGCTTTAAATAGATACTTAAATTGCCTTCTGAAATCCTAGGAAAGATGAAAAGTAACTGTTGGTCTCCAGGTAATTATGTGGCTTTTTCAGTTTTTGTTGTGCATTTGAATTACGAAAGGTTGGAAGAGACCTGAGACAGGAACGTTTACATCATGGTTCTGTAAAATTACTTTATCCTATGTGATTCACGTTTTATTCTGTGTGATAAACATTCGCCTATGTTAGATGAATAAACTGTTGCTGTGTACCTCCCACAAGCTGTTGTCATACAGCAAAACTGTATGAGGAGCTCAGCTGCTCTTTCTCTTGCATTGCAACTTGCAGAAGACAGCGGTGGTAATGCTCTACGTGGACTGTTGAGGGCGAAGCTTGAGCGAAATGTTGGATACGTTGAGGAAGAGAGGAGGGATAGGGCAAGGTTGAGTCGTACAACAGCCTGTTATGTAGTGGCAGACAACTTTATTCCTCTGCAGTCTCTGATCCTGATTCTAACATTGTGTTTTGAAGCTGGAGAAGAAGTCGTAGATCTCACGTGTGAATCTTCTGATCCTGTAGTCGTTGATCTAACTCACAATGATTCTGTTGTGGTAAGTAGTGAACGGCACGCTTATCTAAATCTTGTGTTCAGCTTAGTTTTGTGTTGTGCTCCCTGATAGAATCTGGCTTTAGGGATAAGTTTGAAGTTCAATGTTGACTTGTCAGTGCATGAAAGCCATGTGCTGCAGGTCAACACCGAAGCTGCTGTGGAAATGCACTCGCAGATAGTGGAAAAGTAATCTAAAATAGCGCCTTGCTCCACAACTTGGGGAGAATATAATCAGTTATAGGTAATATAGTTCCAGGTACATCGAAGTTATAGGCTAATGATTTAAATAAAAAGTAAAAGAGTAACAGTCTTTGCACAGAAATGAAGTGTTCAGCTGCAATGTTGGTTTCAGGCTCTCCTGACAGAGACATGCCAAGCGCAGCTGTAGCTCACCATGGTGCAAAGTAGCTCAGTTTATCACTCCAAGAAGTCTTTAAAAAAATCCACTTTTTTCACTGATGTTTTTTGTTTCCAGAATCATATTCAGTCCCGTCCACAGTGTAGTTCATAACCTCAGTTTTGGGATGCCACTGCTGCTGTGCAGAACCAGCAAGCAGCAGGCATAGAAGTGGGGTATCTCCTGCTGGGACTGCTCCTGAGCCTTTGCTGTGGAAAGTTCTAGTTCCGCCAAAGACAACAGCGGGTTTGGGGTTTTTTATCTTCAGCAGCTGCTAACCTAATGTGAAAGGTTTATGCATGTCACACCTGAATTTGCCTGTGTGAGGGAGAAAGAGGGAAAGAATGTCCTCCAGCCTCCGCCACACGAGGGTACTGAAACTGGGGAGCAGGGAGGAGGGTGTTCAGATGGTTCCTAAGCTGTCTCCATTGCTATCCCTTTGCAGCAGCCTGAGCAGGACCACAAGCAACCACTTGTTTTCAGAGCAGCAGCTAATTTACTGCTACTTTTAACATTCTTAATCAAAATAAGAGAGTCATATCCTACGTACCATGCTTAGAGTGTTTTGTTGTAATTGCTTAGCTTATGTGGTGTTTGTATGTAATGCTGGGGGTGCACACAAAAGTCTAATTGTATTTTCTTTTCTCTCCCTTCCCACACATATTGATGCAAGATTGTTGAAGGTGAGTTTACGTTTTACAATTGTGTTGTGGTTTAACCCCAACTGGCAACTAAGCCCCACACAGTCACTCACTCACCCCCCTCCCCGTGGCATGGGGAAGAAAATCAGAAGGGTATAAGTGACAAAACTCATGGGCTGAGACAAGGACAGCTCAATAGGTAAAGCAAAAGCCGCGCACACAAGCAAAGCAAAAGCAGGAATTCATTCACCGCTCCCCATGGGCAGGCAGGTGTTCAGCCATCCCCAGGAAAGCAGGGCTCCATCATGCATAATGGTTATGTGGGACATCAAACGCCATCACTCTGAATGTGCCCCCTTCCTTCTTCTTCCCCCAGCTTTATATACTGAGCATGACGTCATACGGTATGGACTATCCCTTTGGTCAGTTGGAATCAGCTGTCCCGGCTGTTTCCCCTCCCAGCTTCTTGTGCACCCCCAGCCTCATCACGGGTGGGTGTGGTGAAGCAGCAGAAAAAGCCTTGACTGCTCAGCAGTAACGAAAACATCGCTGTGTTATCAACACTGTTTCCAGCACAAATCCAAAACACAGCCCCATACCAGCTACTGAGAAGAAAATTATCTTTACCCCAGCCAAAACCAGCACAATCGATAATGGAATTTTCCTAAACTTAATTTTTACTTTTCTTTTGCAATCTACTTAAGCAGCATGGTTGAACCTGCCTTTACAAATGGACACTGACAAAGGACAGTGCTAAAGTATGTGGCCTGTGTCTTAGGGAATGGATCCAATTGGTTTTTGGTAGTCACTATCAGAGCTTGTACAAAGTAGCTGAGATAAAACACATAAAGCTGCTCGAAGTATTTTTTCTTATTTTCCAAATACAGAATTTCTGTAAGCCCAGCCTTGATAATAAGAATAAGAAAATGTTGAAAGGTTTTTTTAGCCTGTATTGCAGTGAAGGAATTCAAGAACAAAGTTATTTGTGGTCATAGTGTTCACTTTCATTATCTAGTCTAATATACCTCAAATTTACTGCTAACAAGTACTGACAAGTGTGGATTTTTTTTCTACTTAAGGTGTTACAATAGTTATAGCTATAAAGAAGTTAATATTTTAGATCTTTCAGACCTTGTTCTGATTATAATATCTGAGATATATTAGTATGTTGTTAGCTGCTTACTTAGAACGTAATCTGTTCTGTGCTTTGAAACCAGAGCAAGTGAAAATTACTTGCAATGAAAGTAGCTGAATACTTATGCAGGAAGGAAGTTTAATTCTGTGTCTGTTTATGTAATTTTAATTGATTAGTGCTTGATTATTGTTACATGTATACTGGAGTTGCAGAGATAATTATTGCACGTGGCTTCTAATTGTTAGAAAGTAAACAGCAGTTCTTTAACTTGTGGATGTTACAGACCAGGCAATTAAATTTTTTTTTTAATCTCCTTTTGTCTTGGGAAATATAACTCCATTTTCAAGTTACCTTAACTCAGGAGGAAGATGATGAAATTTTGAAGGAGACAGTGCTTAAAGTAGTCTTCTAATTTCCAAGTACTGTTCTTAAAAAAAACTAATTTTATAGAAACTGCCTTTGAGTAGGGAGGTTTGGTTTAACACAGAGTGGAACAGCTTAGCAGCATACCTGGATAGAGCAGTGAGGACCCACAGCAGCTTCATAATTTACATATTTAGATTTAAGCATCTGAGCCTTTCTGAACAAAGCACTCTGTGTTTTAGCAGGACTTTTTGTTGTGTAGATGCTACATCACAATGCTGTTTGGAAGCTTAAGTTCAGTCCTCTCTCTCTCTGTCCCCCATAACACGCAGCAATTGTCACAATTCCTCAACATAGCATCATGGCATTCTCTGTTGGTAAGAATTAGGAGAGATAGCCTCCTTTTATAGGGGAGATTTATTCACAGGTAGTGTAACTATATGAAACTAATGACATGGAGAATCTTTCAGGTCATGTTTTAGCTGTTTATAGTGCGAATAGAGCAAATATTTTGTGTTGATATGTAGCAGAGTATTCGCAATGTCTGGAAATGTTCAGCCTTAAATACTTAGGAAATTAGTTTGCTTAAGATTGCTTTTAACCCAGCTGTATATGGTCCATTTAAAATACAAACTGTTACAGACTATTTATAATTACGCATTTCAAAGATAGTTCCAGGGATATATATGACAATATATCTAAGTTACCAAAATTAAATTGCAGAGAATCAACGACAAAGGAGAAATCTTAGACTAAGAAGCCAGCGACAGTCGGACAGCTGTGTATTGAGTAGCGATGATGAAGACGAAACAAGAGATAGTGATGTGTATGTGACAGATAAAGTGTCTCGAGAATTAGGACCACTGGAAGATGAAACTGCAAGTTCAAAGTATGTATGCCTTATGACCTACCAAATGTTGAATTCTGCTTTTCTTATGCGTACAGGACTCCCGTTATATTGCTGAATCTTGACTTATCTTTGAAGTCTTAACTTATTCTAGTTAGCTCCCACTTTCAATAAGGACAACATCACACTTCACATGATGACTAAATGATACTGTTTGCACTGCAGGATGAAAAGCCAGCCCAATACAGATGTGCAACTTTGCATACAACCTTAAAGATGAATATGGGGATATGTCAAGGAAGGAGGATTAGTCACAGGCCATGGCTCCTAATGTATTGCATTTACTTTTCATGGAGAGTTTTAGCAGTGATGTTAGATACGGAAATGTTTTCATTAGTGAAGATGAGGCTTGCTATCATGCCACCAGCAAGCAGCAGCCTGGCAAATTCCAGTAAAGACTTCATTCAATAACTCGTTCACTGCTTTTTTACACACTGTGCCAGTTGACTGCCTTTTTCCTCTTGGAGAGGTAACCATTCTTCCAGGGAATACTTGCAAGGCGATTGTGGAGGCCATACTGTTATGACCAGTTTTTGTTCTGTCCCGTCTTTGTCGTGGAGCTTTTGATATGTTTGTGTGTGAGATGGCAATGTCACTGTTCGGGTCAGGTGCCTGCACAGTAAAGAACCCATTCTGTGGAGAGACAGTAAACTGCTGTAGGAGCACTCTATTGTATTAAGAAAGACACAGTTTATTAGACTAATTAAACAAAATCAGGTGTTCATGTGACCAGGGAAGATGAAGACCATGTGAATTGTGGTATAAATGTTTTTTAAAGTGTCTGGGGGGAAAAAAATACAGGCTTTAACAAAGCTGGTGTGCTTTGAGCCTTTTAGAATTCTGGAAGGCAATGTAAGAGAGAACTTGGGTATTGAAATTTTGGGTGTCTGATCTTAAGTATGCTACCTAAAGGGCTTATAGTATTCTAAAACAGTGCATTTTGCCAAAGGATTTGTAGATTTTTTTTTTTTTTTTAATTTTGGTTGTTAAGTAGGTAGGTGAATAAATTCCACTAATAAGTTAATATAAAAAATTAATGTTTTATTCCTTCAATCTCAGGCTTCTCTGTTAAAGAATGTGCCTTCCTGCTCTGTTTAGGTCAGGCTAAACAACTTGCTGCTGCAGCATTTCATGTTGACAGAAAGGTACTGAGATGCTGCAGAGTGCCACAGAGCCACCTACAGTGTTACTGTAGTGTTAGACTACTCTTGCTTCTGTGAAGGTTATCATCAATTGTAATTAATTACAGAGTTGGTATTATAGCTGCTGCATAAAGAATTTGAGTACTAAAAATGGGAGAATTAATGGAGTTAAATTATTTATGTGAAGCTAGGGGTAGGTGTTAGTAGGGCTCCCTGCTTGTATTTAAGATGATGGGATGAAGGATATCTGATGCTTTCTATTCCTGTTTAAAACATTACAAACTGTTGCTTAGCATGGGCGGTGACATAATGAAGCCAAGTGTTTATGGTAAAGACTTAACGAAAGCAGCTTACCGTAATCATTTAAAACAGAGGTTAACCTGTAAATAAGTGGCAGGAAGCTCTTTCTGATAGAGAATGTTGTTCAGCACTTATGGTGTGATACATTCCTTACGCAGAATACCTGTGTCTGTTAGTAAGTGTGTGTGCGATACAGCTATCCTCGTGGCGGAAGGCAGGAGGGGTACTTCTGTAACCACAGGCTGGTAACAGCCCCTGAGTCGGTCTTTCCTTCGCTGAACTAGACAGTTATTTTTTAATATTTCCTCATGTTAGTGTGCTCCTGCACTACGTCTTTTAAGGAAGGAGCTCTTGGTATGAATATGTTA